GCAAACATTCAGGGGCAATAATTTGTTATAAGAGCTTACGAATCCTTTCGCAATGTTTGACTGGAGAGTCTACTAAATTAGTCGTAAACATTAATTTAGGTTTGGAATCTCTGCGGTTTACGGTTTTGGAGAAGTAGCGATAACAGACATTTCTTGCGAAAGGGGCAATAACTTCGAAAGGGGTCAAAGTTCTAACATAGGGGGTCGTTTTTCGGAATAACTTTTAATATCCAGTATCATGAACTATAAAGTTTTTCGATAAGTCTTACGGTGTCAAAACATAAGGTGAGAAATAAAATAAAAAACAGAAGCATTTCAAGAGGTCTTTCCACAGAAAGGTGGAAAGACCTAATAATAAACAGAAGAATATCAATAGGTCTTTCCACAGAAAGGTGGAAAGACCTAATTATAGCTTTCGTGTTAGCGGAAAGATTAAAACGTGTTATAGATAACCTGATAAATAAAAATCAGACAGGGTACATTAAAGGTCGGTTCATCGGCGCTAATGCTAGATTGATATTAGATATTTTAGAATATTGTGAAAATAATAGTAAGGAAGGGATTCTACTTTTTGCAGACTTCCAAAAGGCTTTTGATTCAGTGGAATGGAATTTTTTAATTAATACTCTTCATAAATATAACTTCGGATGCAATTTTATAACATGGATAAAAATATTATATAAAAACCCATATTTTTACATAAAAAACAATGGATGGCTCTCCAGACAATGTTCAATGAAAAGGGGAATTAGACAGGGATGTCCTGTTTCAGCGCTCTTATTCCTCTTTGTTATGGAAGTGCTTTCTTTGAAAATAAATTCTTCGGCAGAAATAAAAGGTTTTAGCATTGACTCACTTGAAAATGAAATCAAATGTATTCAACACGCTGATGACAGCACTTTTCCGTTACAAGATAAATCATCTCTAGAAAATGCATTAAAAATGATCGAAAACTTTGGTAAAGTTTCTGGTACAAAACTAAACATATCAAAAACTGAATGTATCCTTTTAGGACAACTAAAAGATAGATTTAAACAGGAATCATACATTTGTAAAACCAAAATTAATAGTCAAGCAATAAGATGCTTAGGCATATACATCGGAAATGATAAAACTGCATGTAATGAAAAAAATTGGCTTAATAAACTCAAAGAGTTTGAAAAAATACTGGACTCCTGGAGAAAACGGAAACTTACTATCTTTGGAAAATGTCAAATAATAAATTCATTAATTTTATCAAAACTCATATACACGGCTAATGTTTTAGATAATCCAGATGGAAGTTTTATTAAAAATCTAAACAAATTAATATATTCATTTATTTGGGGAAATCGTGAACGCATTAAACGAAATACACTCATTCGCGAAATTAATAATGGAGGAATAGGAATTATTGATTTTGAAACGAAAGTAAAGGCATCTAAAGCGGCTTGGGTTTCCAAAATTATAAATACCGAAAGTAGTCTAAAAGATCTTTTAAATGCATGTTTAGTGCAACACGGGCTTAATTTACCCTACCTTGTACGATCAAATATTACTGATATTACAGACTTCAACATTCTCTTTAAGTTACCTCGATTTTATAAGGAAGTTTTTTGTGCGTTCAATCAGTGTAAAGCACAAATTGAAATAAGCGCATCAAACCAACTTTTGCGTGAAAATATATGGTTTAATAAGGATTTGAAATATAAAGGAAAAATTATTTATTTCAAAAATTGGATCGAAAGTGGTTTTAAATATGTAAAAGATCTTTTTGATGAAAACGGACTCAAATCACTGACAGAAATTCAGAAAAAACTTATTAAAAAACAAAACTATCTGTGTGAATACTTAGTAATTAAAACAATCTTTAGTAAATGGCACGGTATTAATTCGAGTAATACTTCTTTCATCAATATTAACGACACATGTAATTCATTTTCCTTTAAATTTCATGATAAAAAAGAAAACATTGAAGACAAAACATCAAAATTTTTCTATAAAATTTTGTTGCAACAAAAGTCTCAAAAGCCGATTATGGAAACTATATGGTCAAAAGAGTTTAATATCAACTACTCAAATCAATGGCAAAACGTATATGAGGAAAAAATTAGAAAAATTCTTGATAAAAATGTTGCTGAATTTAATTATAAACTAATACATAATTTATTACCGAATAATCTCTATCTTAGTAAATGGAATAAAGATATTGATAAATACTGTCCAGTATGTCGCTGTGAAGAGAATTCTAAGCATTTGATTTTTGATTGCATTCAAGTTAAATTAATATGGAACAAAGTCTCTGAAATCATAGGTATAGATATAAGTTGGAGAAATATTGTTGTGGGTTTTAGTCATGGTATCAACTACAATACTTTTGTTTTGAATAATGTCTTATCATTTATTGCTTGTAAAATATTTAAATATAAAATGAAATGTAGAATTATGAAAAATAATATTATAAGTGAAGACATGTTAATCTTTTTGAAAAATGCTCTTATGAAATTCTATTTAGTCACCAAACGATCCCTAAGCATCACATACAATTTTCATATTTTAAAATCTTTGGCAATAAACTTGTAATTATTGTATGTATACATTTATACATGTATGATATAATCTATATTTGGTGTATATGAGGGTGACTGGCCCTCTATACATGTTGCCAAGGGGTGTGTTGGACAGTGTTTTTTTATGTGCTCCCCATAGCAACATAATGTTCCTATCTGTATCTGTATAAATACTTTGTCAACATACAATTTGATTATATTATACTCAATCTATTGATTTAGATACCTGTTACATATTTCAAACATATATTATTTTTTTGCTATGTACTTTGTCAACATACCATTTGATTATATTATACTCTATTGATTTAAATACCTTTTACATCTTTCATACATATATTATCTTGCTATCTAATCTAGGGAGCCCCTGGCACCCCTAGTGAGGGTTATTATAGGGGGACATCTGCGGATGTCATTGCCCCAAATCTTTCTTGTCATATTTTCATGAATAAAGTATTAAAAAAAAAAAAAAAAAAAAAAATCAATGAAAGAGCGAACCCGACCAGTTTCCGAAAACAACCGAGTGTTTTTAACTGAATGCAGCAATGGTAATTCAGAGGGTGAAAGGGACAACATGATTTTAAGTGAAAACGATAATTTTTTTCAGCAGTTAGATAATCTTCATCGCGAAAAACATGAAAATAGGTCCAGAATTGTTTGCTCTGCCACAGCAAGGGAAGAATTGATGAACGATATGCGATACTTTAACGGTAGTACAGGCGAGGTTCAGGTGCCACAGGACGAGGCTTATTTTGACTGGGAGACCAGTGAGGGCCACCTTAATAGGTTAGAGGACAGGATTAAAAGTTTCTGTGACAAGCTAGAAAAGACGGCAAATAACAAGGATGCACCAAGGCTTTCACCTCTAAAGAGATTTTCCATTCAAGATGATAGAGACGTGAGTACAATTTAGAATGAACCTTTACTGTTATCGTGAGTGAATAAATGTGGAATAGAACTGTTACAAATTATAATTCATTGTATTTACATGGAAAATGAACAAAGATAATATCGCTTTGATAAAATTATACTTGTTTGATGTGATGAAGACGATTTTTATGTCACCTGTATAGCAGAATGACCCTTACATGTTCATCTGGGAATCACTTTACTAGTACCCGGTGTCTGTCTTTTTGTCCGTCAGTCAGTCTTTTCCTCCATCTGTTCGTATGTCACAACAGTTACTTATATCTTGAGAAATGTAAGAGAATTTGCTGATTTATTACTTGGCACTATGACTTGTTTTTATTAATGATAAAAACTTAAAAAGTCATCTTAAAAATATGAATCTTAAGACACTTCTTAAAACTGTGTAGATTTTGTTCGTGTCTCAGATCTGCCCGGAGACTGTTCCAGAGTGCAACCCCTTGGGGTTAGTGGGGGTCACAATAAGTTATCAAAGTTTTACTATGGCATATACAAATGTACATGTGTAAAAAGCTCTTCCTAAAATGACAAAGAAACGAAAAGTGATAGGACAAGTACCATTTTAGTTTGGACTTTCAGTAGGGCGTGGCATTCTCGACGTTACATAATTAGCTTCTGAAATTTACACTTCCTTCACTGTTGAAATACACATGGGATAGAAATTCGGGCAAATGCCAATTAGTGTATCGAATAACCAATAACATTGTCTCTTCCAGCAAAGAGGTGGAGCTTATGTCGTCTCATCGTTGTCAACAACAATTTAAAGTTTCCGATATTATTAATTTCTTAACCAATGAGAATCTATTCGCCATTTGACAGACGCTAATTACATAGCACCGAAAATGCCATGCCTTACTGAAAGTCCAAACTAAGGTGAAAATCTTCCTATATAGAATCATCCTCAAGTAGTGTAGATTTAAGTTTGATCAAATCATGACCCCTACCCTGTCGATGTAGAGTGGTGACAGTAGACATAATTTTACAAAGGAGTAGGGTGTGTGTGTGTGTGTGTGGGGGGGGGGGGGTGTCAGCTGATGTGACACAGGTGAGTGTAGTGGCCCAGGGACATTTTTTCATTAAAACCAGTAACCCTTGTCTATGCATATGAACATGGTCAGTAATTCTTTTCTTCTCACACAGGAAAATAACTTTGATCTTAAAGTTCCCAAACCAGGAGGAACAGTATTCGTTCGCACAAAAATCTGTAAAAGTCACGAGGAGGCATCAGAGGAAGATGTTCACCAGCACGTACGGAGGTTTATTCTAACAAGGGAGAGTAGTGGAGCGGATCAGGTACAACTTCCGGACAGACCTAAATCGGCGTTTGCTGGTTCCCAGCAGAGAAGATAAAGCTTGTTCTTCAATCTTGATGCTCTGAATTATAAAAGTGACAGGCATGGGGGGTGGAAACCATGTTTGTAAATTGAAAATAAATGAACAAAGTTGTACTTAACTATACATTTTAACTTTCCATACTTGAGACGTGGCCTTTATAATGTATATATACATAATAATAATTTATAAGCAATTTAGATACATGTATTACAAATCTATATTTTTGTCGTTTTTCTTCAGTTTACTTTCTTGTATAAAACAAGCAATAGTTTATTGTGATATACCGGCTTCTATAGTACGTCTTAGTTTACTTAACTCAGTTAAGAATGGAAAGGTTAAGCAAATGCCATTTTGCAAGAAAACTCTCCGCACACATGGTATTCCATTGCATCATTGAGTTTTTGGTCGTTAGTACGATGACTCGCCAATCCAATGTCGATGAAGATATGCTGTGATGACGATAGAGTGATGGTGCGATGACGGTGATGCGATGGCACGATGAAACAATAACACAATGTTACGTTAGCGATAACATGGTGGTGCATTGATGGTGGTGCAATGACGACGAAGTGATGTTCACTAACGCTCCATCATGCTATCACAGCATCGTCATCGCATTGTCGCGCTATCACACAGTCACGTCATTATCATCGAAATCGCACCATCGTTTTTCAGTGCCATCGACTCATTAGTAGTAATTGATGGTGTGAAAGTGAATTACATGGCTCTGTCTGGATTCCATAGTAATCAATGTGAGAAAGGTTCTTTTTATAGATATGAAAAAGACCACTGTAGCACTTCACCCTCGTGACACAAACCTTCAAAGTTTAAAGATTGTAGTGTCACGCATGTTGACACCGACTTTCCAAAGTAGCCGATTATTGGTAATGTGAAACATATGGAGATAACGAACTGTATTCAAGATCAAAAGTCCATGAACAATACAGAATAGGAGCAGAGCAAATGCGGACCTCCAAAACATCAGAGGTGGGATCAGGTGCCATGGAGGAAACATCCCTTACCAACCGTTACACCTGCCGTGTGCTCTTCGTCATGTTCGAGAAATAACGGAAAAATCCGTCATCTATTCAGTTTACAAATAATGGACTAACACACAGTATGAAAAACGTCAGTCAGCATTTGATTTGATGATACCGTAAATAGTATTTGCTGACAAGGTCATTGTATTGACCACAGAACTTACAGTATACGGGAAATGTTAACTTTAAACGAGACTGCTGATATTCTTGTTTCATCAACTTGTTTGTCAGTAATTTCGTTTCAGATATTGTTCATACGTAGAACACGCTCTTAATTGCGTATCGAATCAACTGAGATATATAAACTCTGTATGCAGGTGATGAAGATATACTGCTGCATAAGTAAGGGAAGTTGACTATAGAAAAGTTAAAGTCATCACGTTTATCATAGAGCTTGGTTGTTCGATTACCATTTACGTCTTTTTCAAACAAAATACTAGTATCCAAATATGAAAGAGATGTGTCATACTCTGTGGTATCTTTTATCTCAAGCTCTCCAGGATATATCATATCGACATAAGAATGGAAATAGCCATTTTTAATTGACAATACGTCGTCGATATATCTAAATGTCGAGTTGAAGGGCACAGCAAGTGTTTTCTTCATTTCACGCATAAGATTTTGCAAAAATTCCGCATCATATGAATATAAAAATAGGTCTGCTAATAACGGGGCGCCATTGGTACCCATGGGAATTCCAATAGATTGTTGGAAGACCTGGTCTCCAAAAACAACATAGATATTGTCAATCAGAAACTCAAGCATATTTTGTATGTCAACTTCAATTAAAGTACTTGTGTGTACAATCGGAATGTTTTTTTGACAAAATAATTTTGCAAATGACCAATGACAAGGTAAGTAGATTTACAAGTTCCATTTTTATTTTAAAAGCAGTTGTAAATGATATCAAAAAGCATGGACTTTAATTTATCGTGAGGAATGGTTGTGTATAAAGTTGAAAAGTCGTAAGTTTTTAAGCTATTGATTTTGGTAAAATCTTGTAATTTCAAATTGTCCAAAATTTTCCTGGAATTTTTAATTATTCACAACTTATTTACACCACTTCTTGAATTCACTGTTGCAGAGCACTCTTGAAGTTTCTCCTTCACTATTGTTTATATCTTAGTGAGGAGTAAAGAAAGAGGAATGGTTGAACATTTACTGGAACACGCTCTGTATCTTGGTTTGTACGGATTCTAATGAAGTTTCGGGATCCAATATAATTATATATTTATTTATGGTAGTTCAAATTTATTTTGGTTCTTTGGGATATTAAAAATATTCAAAAATGACTTTAAAGAATTTCTTTCTTAGAAAGGGATCTATGAGTATAAGTCCGATAACCAGATTTAGAATTAAATCCAAGTTCTTCTAAAATACAAGTTACTTGTAAGTTTGAATAATTGACACGACCATCTCTCGTTAAATGAAATTGTTAAAATTTCAGGTGATGTTGAAATGGCACTACAGCTTGACTCTTGTGTCAGTTCTTGATCTGCAACTCTAACGCTACCGTCATGATATTAGACACCAAGAACTACGATCGTCTTGTAGCATCCGAGTATACCCGATAGACCGGACGCATTTCATAGCGGTCCGGATTTCTTTCTTTATTAGTGTTCTTAAAAATTTCCAATTCAACATGTAATTAAGTATGTAAATATCTAGTGTTTAGTAGTTTAGTAGTAGTGCTAGTTGTGTTTGTTTCTCTTTTTCCTTTGTTCTTTTGACTTTTTAAACTTTTTTCTTTGTCTTGAGGAAGGGAAAGGACTTTTTCATCAGATGATTAAAAATTTTATTTTCTAGTTCATTCATGTATATTTACATTTCCAATAAATTTGCCCTATGATTCTTTACAAAATAAAATGCAGTTCATTTTCTCATGAACTACATTACATATGTACCACGGATAAGCATGAATATCTCCATCCGCACTTGACATCAAAAATATAGACTATAGCGCACTTTGTTTTGCTTTAAAAATGATAGTTGAATTGCGTAAATTTATAACAAGTCATCAGAAAAATAATGTAAATATAAGAAATGAATTCAATTTTTGAAGATTCATGAGGCATATGAATAATGACGTATTTTGGTAGGTTTTGTATATCATTCACTTTTCCACTTGGCTCTATTGCTCCCCAGTCGTCACGGCGTATAATTCTACTCGTAGATACATCTAAAATATTGGTTTATAGATAAAAAAAAAATTATTCAGAATATATTTTATCAAAAAATCAAGATCAAGATCAATATTTCATTGCTTTGCCATGTATTGATTTTAAAATTTGAAGTTAGGGAATACAAGTAACTTGAAAAGTGAACTATTTCCAAAGGTTTTCTGGAATCTTCTTGCTCACAGTCACGGGATTTTGGAATGTCTAAAACATTCGGAGATGAGAATTCCTTTGAGCCTCTTGGATTTAAAAAACCTTTAGAAAGTGTCCCTTGTGATTTTGGGTAAACATCTTCCATAAGATTCACTGCATAGGTGATGATTCTCAATGCTAGGAAGAAATGTTTCTTGAAAAAAAATTAAATGCCTTCAGTGATATATATATATATATATATATATATATATATATATATATATATATATATATATATATATATAAAAAGCACTAAAAAACCAACAACACTGTATATCCTAAATGTCGGATCTATCAAGTAGATACAAGGTCACGGATGGAAATTTATAAAAAGCACTAAAAATGACCAACGACACGAACAATAAAAATTGTCAAATTTTCGGGACGCCCTGTCCCTTCCTCAGGACAAAGAAAAGAGTTAAAAAGTCATAAGAACAAAGGAAAAAGCGAAACAAAAAACAACTAGCACTACTACTAAACTACTAAACACTATATATTTACATACTAAGTTACATGTTGATTTGGAAATTTTTAAGAACACTATTAAAGAAAGAATCCGGACCGCTATGAAATGCGTCCGGTCTATCGGGTATACTCGGGTGAAGTGCGATTTACATAATTGAACGAATTAATTATGCTAATTAATTACGACAATCAGTAAATCGTACATTGTTTCATTCTCTCAAAATGGCGTAACTATACTTGATAAAGAATAACCAAAGAAAAATAATATAGAAGGGGCATTTTAACATATGAATTATGATCTATTATAAATTTTAATTTGAAATGTTTTAGGACTGATTATCGGTAAAAAATAATTAATAATTAATTAACAGAGGCGTAAGCAATACATAGTTATGTGGGTTGTTCGAGAGTTGGTGACGCAAATTAACTGTGGAGTTTACACTAAATTGAGAGAATAATCTTGTTTGGTATCATCAGGAATCGGGTCTAGTTTACGTTCATTCTGGTGAAGTCATTCAGTTTGTTAATACCATTGGGGCGGAATGACTTCAATCTGTGCATCCAGAACTTTTCTTTGCTTTTTCTCTGAGCGTCTGTCCATCTTGGGTTATGATCTATCACCACTACTGTCATGTCCTCCCATTTGTGACCCTCAAGGTTGAAATGTTCCCCAACGGGTTCATTGAGTTTTTTGGTCCTAATGGTCGAACGGTGGTTATTGACTCTCCTGCGGAGATCTCCTGTTTCACCAATATACTGTTTGGAGCAAACTTTGCAACTGATGAGATAAATGCAGTTGTCAGTATGACAGGACAAACTTCCTAGTATTTTGTAGCTGCGGCCTGTAACAGGGCTGTTAAAACTGTCTGTGTCAGTGCTGTGCTTACAAAGAAGACATCTTCTGTCAGAGCAAGTCTTAAAGCCCCCGTTAGGTAATGGGTTGTCCAGTCTGGTTCTTACTACCATGTCCTTTAGGTTCCTAGGGCGTCTGTATGCAGCCAATGGGGGTTCCTTAAAGACCTCTGCCATTCGTTTGTTTGAATGGAGAATTGGTAGGTTCTTTTGAAGGATACCGCTTAGGTTCTTAAGGACGGGATGGTATGTGGTTACCAGAGGGACCCTACCGCTATTTTCTTTCTCTTTGTAGCGTAATAGGTTTTGCCT